AGACTGAAATTTTCCCACTAATCCACTAGAATTTGTTAGAGTAATACATACCCTCCAAATTGCAGTTTTATTACTAGCATAAACACCAAGGAGGAACATAAAGCTGCAAGTGAACTTCTAGTCCTTTCCTGCATCAGAACCATTGACTGTTCTAAAGGATTGGCTTTCCCATTGTCTACTTTTATGACTTAAAATATTTCAGTTGCATCTGGATGTTTAATCTTGGAAAAATTATAGACAAAAAAAAATCCTTATTTACTAAAAATAAGGAGGCAAGAAAGACCCTGGGCCTGTAATTGCTGGGTTTTGCCTTGCATTCCAATAAAAACAAGTAAGTTCATGCCCACTCATCTAAACACCCCTGAAACGGTGTATTTTATACGAAATCAAACAGCAAGCAAAACTTATTTTTCCATGCAAGTGGTTTTACTCTCTGCTTGGCAGATGAAGACTCAGAGAGTTCTGACAAAATATACTAAAAGATTAAGAAATAAACATTTTCCCTGAGGAACACTAAAATAATGTGTCCTTCAGATAAGAAAGGGTTTCACAAGGGAACAAACATTAATGTGATTTTAATGGAAATTGAGTAGAAGGAAAATTTTGGCAAAGCACAAAGAACCACGCATTGCAAACTGACCATTTCACCTTGTCCTGCGACGCTTCTGCTCCAAACACGCTCCTTAGTGCCCCAGAGGGCCACCAATGTCCCCAGGCTCCTTGTGGTTCTCTCTTCTCTTGCTTTTCCTACAGCATATGACACTACATTCAACATTCTCCTTCTAGATTTCTCTCTTCCCTTGACTTGTCTGATTCAGTTCTCCCTAAGTTCTTTTCCTATTGCTGATCATTTCTCTGTTCTCTTTAGTCCTCCTTTCTCCCAAAATGTGAGCATTCATCAAGATGTAAAGTTATTCTGGATCTTTCTCTGCCTGCACTAATTCATTGTTATCCATGGTTTTAGCTTCCATGTATAGAAAGATAATTGCAAAATCTACATCATTCTTAGGTGTTTGCATTTTCCGCTGCTGGCTGGTTACATTTGCCATGGCTGTATTTCTATCACATGATCAAATGTAAACTCATGGGTTTATTTCTCCCACGTATTCTTTCTTCATCTTTCCCATTATACTGAATGGCATCATGACATGATATACAGTATTTACTGTCATCCTCAATCCTTCTCTCTTCTTAACCTGTGGATTTCTCTTTCTGGATCCCACTCCACCCCCTTCTTTCAACCTTTGCTTTTGTTTATATGATTTGTTCCCTCATTGCCTCTTAGAATCCAGCAATCACTCCCCTTAGTTCATGTCCATGCATAAAAGTTCTTTGGCTTCTCCATTTCCTATACTATTGTTATCCGACCCCTGTCTGTTTTCGGCCTACCAATTATGCTTCTTAATCTCTGCACTATTCCCCTCCCCCGCTTCCCACTCCCAGTGGATAACCCTCCAAATGATCGAACAAAACCCCAGAAAAAGAACTAAACAAAACAGATAATTAACCTATCAGATGCAGAGCTCAAAACACTGGTGATCCGGATGTTCACAGCACTCTCTGACTATGGCAACAACATCTAGGAAGAAATGAAGGTTACATTAAGTGAAAGAAAGCAAAATCTACTGGGAAACAACAGTGAAAGGGAGGAAGCCAGGATTCAAATCAATGATTTGGAACATAAGGAAGAAATAAGCACTCAACCAGAACAGCAAGAAGAAACAAGAACTTAAAAAAAAAACAAAAAACCAAGAAGATAATATAAGAAGCCTCTGGGACATCTACACACTTTCTTTTAATCTATTGTACACTCTCCTGCCAAACAATAGTCTCTGTAAACCCCTAGTGCTCATCACATCAGTACCTGGAACAGCGCCGTGTCTAAGACAGTAACCAGCACACAGTATATGGCAAAAATCTTGACCAGTCCTCTAGCGTCTGTCTCAAATGCTATTTACCCCCAGGCTCCCAGGTTACAGAGCCCTATCTCCTGTTCTGTGTTCCTATGGCGGGCTTCTCCCCTCTCTTGCACGCCCTGTGGTGTCAATCCTACCTGTAATACGTCAACACCTGCCTGCAGACACCCTTAAGGCATCTTTGAATGGATTACCTCTGGATCACCCCCGCCCCCCGCAGCGTTTTAAGTAGCAAGCCTTTGATAGATGATGACTGAAGTAAACATTCACAATTAAATACAGCAACAATATGGTTGTGGCACATCACTGACTCTATATTGCAACAAACAAATGTGAAATGTGTGGTTTCTGAGCAAAATTTTGAAATGCATATAATTCTGAATGACATGCTCCTTAACAGAACTGAAAAACAAATGGTTTTAGACATCAGCTTCCGAAAGTTTATTTTTATAGTACTTTCCTTATTTTTAGCACTCTCCATTGTCATTTTTATGTTATAATAATCTTATGAAACTGAAGTTGTAAACTAAACTTCCTGGTTTTGATAACATTAGAAATTCTGTAACATTTACATTGTGACTGACAAATAATAATGTTTATTGAGGATTTACTCTGTGCTGGGCACTGCTTTAAATAATTAACATGTATTAATTTCTTTCAGTCCTCATGAGAACCCTACAAAATAGGTTGTCCTTATTCATAAATTGGAAAATGAAGACAAAGAAGTAATATAGTTGACTCAAGGTCACTTAGGTAATAAATAGCAGAGCCCAAGTCAAGCCCTGGACTTCTGGCTTATTTTCTCCCCTAAATATATGAATACTATCGCCTTTTAACAAGGCGATTAACGTGCACATCTCATGGCCTGCAGAGAACGTGTCTCCACATTCTACTTTTCACGGCTAGAGAGACGGGGAGGGAAATGGTGGCCTCAGGTGAGCTCTAGTTCAGTAATCTTCTAGTGCACAGCTGTGGCCTTAAGCCCATCTCCCATAAGTAGAACAAGAGCTGCACAGGGCACCCGGGCGCTCTGTTGTGGACGCCACAGGAAGCCACTGCGACCAATGAGGATGGTGGCTGCACAGGCACTGTCCTGGGCGCATTGAGTTGGACAGATTCTGTTTATTCATAGACATCCTTCTTGTTTCCCACTTTCTAGCTCTGGGACTGCTCCTCTTAGTCCTGGGGAGACTCTAGGGACAGACTCTAGGGACAGCTCTCCTTAGTTCCTTTAGTGTGTTTGTGTCGATGCAAGGCAGACTGGATCTCGCCTTTAAGACAGGGCTGGACTAGCAGTGCTCGGAAGGAGGGCGTGGGAGGTGTGCTGGGAGACACCTAGGAATGTAGCCTGAAGGCACAGACGCTGGTGTGGAGGTCTCGTCATGGAAAACATCGCAAGTGATGCCACAGGAATCTAAAGGAGACTGGGGACAACCCCCAAGGCCGCAGAATAAGAATGTTAAGAATGTTAAGTCAGAGCCACGGGAGACGATTCAGGTAGATATAAGAAATCGCCCCTTCAAAGAGGTTTCTAAACACAGTATGGATTCACCTGAGAGGCAGGAGCTGCCCCGCCACTCACAGCGCCAGACTGTTGGACAGACACTTGGGAGAGACATTACGAAGAATTTATTATTAGTGGCTGGACGGTCACACTAGGTGACTTTTAAATGTCTTACAACCCCAAGAAGCAGTGACTTCAGTTCTGCTGCCACACGGGTGGGTCCCCTCTGCCTCCCACACTACCCCAGGCCAGTCTGCAACATGGCCAGCTTGTCTTGTTCTGTTTTTGCTTTTTCCAGCCCACAAGACAGATGTCTCTTTAATTTTTATTCTCTAGTCCCGAACCATTTATACAAATCACATCATTTTTCCTAAAGGAGACACAGAGTCTTCCTCCATTATCCATGTATACCATATATACAACCCTCATAATGATGTATACAAAATAAATGCATATACAGTCTTATAAGAGAACGGTATTTGAACAAGTTAGGTGTTCCGTGTATGGAACATGTGAAACACATACAGACTGAATACGAATAGGTTATAGATTAAATATATTAAAATATACAGAGACCAATCATAGAGATAATAAAACATAATTTCTTGGAATTTGGAAGTCATTATCACTGATGGAAAATCTGAAGAAACAAAATTACAAATGAGATAATTTGAGTCCAACATATTTTTCCAGAATGAAACAAAACAAAGCAACAGACTATAGAACTGGACCTGAAGACAGGAAGAAAGTCTATGGAATAGGTTATAGCCAAATATGTCTGTGTACTAGCTACTATTCACAGGAGTATTTTAACTTCACATCTGGAAATTTCCTTAAAGAATAACAGGAAACCCAGCCTTGTTCGACTGCTGTTCAAAAAACTGATTTGAAAATATACTAAATGCTAAGGAATTGGGTTATCTAGGTAATACTTCATGAAAATATACTAAATGCTAAGGAATTGGGTTATCTAGGTAATACTTCGCATAATCAGGTCTGTACTGAATCTAGTTTGTTCAAGTGAAGCAAGCAAAAATTTGTACAAACCATTTCCCGCTATGATCATACTTGATGACAAGTCTTTTCTCTAAATTTGATGCACTTAGGAGATTCTTATTAATAATAAATTAGTAAGTACACTACTGCCTATTCAATAAAGGCAAACTGTAACACCAGGGCCACACAGTAAATTCTGGACGTCTGCCTTTTGCCTCCTAGAGTAAGTGACCCAACCCCACAAAAAAGGTCAAGACTGAGGGATGAGATATTCTGAGTCCTCACACAAAGCTTCCTGAACCAAGGACACCACTGGGACCCAGGATGAGGGCTGTGCCCTGAGTTACTCTGCAGGTAATTATGTTTCTTACTATGACGCAGTTACAACTCAGGACTTGTAGGTGCCTCTTAAACCTAAGTGTATTATTTTGTTTAAAACCGTCAAATAAATAGCAATCAGGATTCATGAGGGAGCAGGAGAGAGCAGAAAAGAGAGATGTGAAGTCCAAACCAGAGAAGGTACTGAGCTTTGTCCATTTCATAAATACACAATATATTTTTCATGTCCGTTAAAACGGGCTTACCTGCTGCTAATGTCTGTCCAGCTCCCGGAGCACTGGCCACACAACCAATTGAATTGCAGAGAGAAACAGTGAAGTTGTAGACTCTGTGAGGTTTTAGGCCGCTTACAACACAGGACAGTTGTTGGGATTCATTCGTGGCCAACACCTTCAAGGCAAAAAAAAGAAAGGCCGATTATAGGTAATCAGTGTGCAAGATATAACCCTGGCAGTCAAAGTTCCATGAATTCAAACAGAAGGAATTACTGCCAATCTCTCTTAGGAAAAGGGATTTGTGTGTGTGTGAACAGTCTCAGCAAGCTAGGGTTTAATTGATAATTGTACAACCACACTGTTTTATGAGGTAATAATCCCGTTCCTGAGTGGAGAAACGAGGAAACCAAGTTATTGCCTCATAAAGCAGCGTGGTGATATGGTTATTGTCACCAATGGTAGAGATAAAGGATGGTGACATGTCATTGTTATCATGAAAAAGTCCAATTAAAACCATAGGGCCTGGCCAAAACTAACCCAATGCGGGAATGCCCACATGCTATTTGATGGGGATCATACAGAGAGATGTCACTGTTAAATCAACGCCACCGTGTTCTTAAAAAAAAAAAAATAAGAAAAGAAAGAAAAAAGTGAACACAGTGCTGAGCATCCACATGAGGTCAATTCTCAATTATCTTTCTTATGCAAATTGCAGAGTAGATCAAACAGTTATATTTTTTGAAATACTGTCTTTATCACACCATTTCAGATGAAAATAGCAGATTTGAGCAAAGGAGACTGAGAGGAACACTGCAGTCCGTGAACAAGTAATGAAATAGCCAACACTGAGGGTTGGTCCTGTCATGAAAACCAGAACTGATCAAAGTGCCCGTGGAAATGAGCTCAGTCTGTAGATACAGAAAACACTGGAAATCATACCCATAAAAAAGTCACTTGGTGGAGGTGGAGAGTATGACACCAAGCGTAAATAAGTAGAAAACTGTTTCTTCTAAGTAGGCAGCATGGCCTGTCCGGTTGACACCAGCCCGTCTGTCATTGGCCACCCTCATGCCGATCAAATGGGCCGATGGAGAACCGTGGCGCAAGTGTAGGCTCACACACCACTTCCATCCTCCAAGTTTGTTTATATGCACACGTCTATCAAATGGATAGATATGTCCATATAACAGACATGCGCACGCACACAGGAAAGCTGCAGCAACTGTGAGCAAGGATTGCTATTCTCATGACTTCTAGCTGGACTAGGAGTTACTACAGGGCGAAAGGTCACCATCTGCCCCAAAGCTTGAACATCATAACCTTTGCTATAAGCTGTGATAAATCTCATTCCTGAGGTGTTTTCTAAGGAAATAGAAATATGGAAAATGCACATTTAAATGTTCTTACCAATGTTATTTATATTTCTAAAGGAATTTATACAATATAAATATCAAGGTACTATACATCAGTTAGAAACTTTATTATATGTCCAAATAATATGACAGTACCTAGCTACCAAAAGTCAGTCTCTTGCATCATATTTAAGGATATATGTTAAGTGGAAAAAGTAAATTTTATGAAACAAAATTTTATCACTTTAGCTTTAATATATGCTTGCATTAGAAAAATATTAGTCACATAAATAGAAGAGCATTGTACATATCACATTACAACAGGAAACAGATGCCCCATTTAAACAATGCACAAGGGAGAGTTCTGCTCCTGTAATCTGCAAACTCAGGAAATGTCAAAATGAAGACATAATTCACTTCTGAAAGGACGTCAGCTGAAAATCACAATACCTGTGAAACCACCACCGGAGAAGACTGTTGAGGCGATTGTTCGGAAATCATACTGATGTCGTACCTCACCACCTTCCCTCTTGTCACGTTGTCTGCCGGCCTCTCCCAGGACACGTTGAGGGAGTACGGCGAGAGGGGGAGGACTGAAGGAGGCGCCATGAACAGAGGCTCTGTCGATGACGACAGCAGCAGCGAAACCGTGAGTCCTGGCAGGTGTTCCAAACGGACCCCCCGCATGTGTTCAAGTTTCTGAAATACCCCGTTTGTTACCTAATATTCTGATTTTTAAAAAGTCAAATAATATACTGCTGCATATAAGGACTATTCTTTTTTATGTTATCTGCAAGGATGGTCTCCAATTTCATATTAACATCAAAGACATTTTCCATTTTCAAAATAAAAATTCTCTAGTAATCTGTGTTTATAAAGATAACTGGTAAATAATTGGTTGGGAAACCATAAGTCTTATAAAGTATTTGGGAAAAAAGGTATCAAAATAGACGATGTTACAGTCCACAGGGTTCAGAACAATGCGTAGTGACATACTGGATTTCTTATGTGGAGAGGTATTTCCCCGGGCCAAACCGATATACCTGGGAGAATGTTATTCTTTAGAAAGAAGTCAGTCTAAAATCTTCTAAATAACCCCAAAGGAATTTTTTAACTTTTCAATAAGTCTTGACTGAAATGTGCAGGGTGTATATACACGCATACATTCTCTCCTTGCCATCCTTGAGATCTTAATATAGATTTTAAATGTGCTAACCAAAAGTGTATTATCAGAAGACCTCAGCGCACTTTCATTAGCCAGTGACCCATAAGATTATGAGGGTCCGGTGCTGCAGCTTCACCCATTACTTTTCATTTCTGACCTTGCTTTTCCCCTTCCAGAATGCCATGGCTCATCACTTGTGCTATCATGGCACTATTATTTGTCCAAGATGGCTGGAAGTCGTTAAGATATGCTCAACCACAATGCACATTTTATTCATGAAATGATCCCCTTGGACATCAACCTACAGCTACCCTTATCCTCCACAGCCCCAACAGGTTCAGGTTAAAGCAGGACTTGTGTTTCTTTGGATAGCCACGTGAATTTAAAGCATAACAAAAATGTATTTTAAATTTCATTGAAGACTCATGAAACTTGAAGTGCTGTATGTCTGTGTAAAGAGTAAGGTGGAGAATTTAAAATACCTCAATTGCCTTAGTAAAGATAGCCTTAAAAAATGAAAAATTTTCTTCCTCCTTTTTTCCCATATTGCCAATGACATGTATAAGCACACTTGTGAATTATAGATTTTGATATCCAGGAATCTGTCATTAGGTATAACCTAGTACATAAACTACTTGTTTTGGAAAGAAAAATAAAAACAAAGTCAGATTTATGAAGTTTGTAACAGGTATCACCCTCATTGACCCTGAATTGTGCTGACTTTGGAGCAAGATGAGAAAACACACATCCAATCCAATGCAGGACTGGAAACCAATTGCTATTCTGCAAACATGCTTAAAAGACTGTAACTATAGTTAAGTCATCACCCTCTCCCTTGAAGTAATAGCTAAAGCATTTTTTTTCCCATAAAACTTATTGTAAGTCCTTTATGACCTTGAGTCATATAGGTAACGAAGGGAAGTACTAATTTTTTCCTTGCCATAGGTAAGTTTATAATTCTTACTTGAGTGCTGTTGACTTTAATTGGAGACAGTGTTTTCCTACAGGAGTTTTAAAAGTAGAATTTAAGGCTTGACTGTTACCTGACTCTCCAGTTCTTTCTGAGGTCCAGGCTGAGGACACGCTTCCAGCCACGCTCACGGCCAAGACTCTGAACTCGTACGTGGTGTACGGCTGCAGGCCAGCAATGGCTGCGGACGTCCGGGGCGCTCTCAGCACGGGCTCACTGGTTGCTTCTGCGAACAGGTGAGGGCTGAGCCAGCCGCTGCTCTCAAAAACCCGGCTTTCTGCTGCCGTGGGTTCTCCATTAGATCTCAATCTTTTCATGTATAGTTCATATCTTATAATTATACCTAAGAAAGGGAAACAGTGAAACCAGATGACTCATCAGACAAACAAGAGAATATTGGGGGTGGGGTGGGGTTAAATCAGTTAAAGAGAGTTGGCTTTTCATTATTCTTCTGACTAGATTCCATCTCCATTTTCTTGGTAATTCAGATTGTAGGTACTGACAAAAAACAAACTGATGGATAGATGAATATATGAATGAATGTATGAAATGCTACCAAAAAGTATATTCATGTGGAAAAAAAATGGGAACATATACAACACAAAATAGCTATAATTTATGATAGGTAAACTTATCTTTTTTTTTCAGGATGAATGGCCGTAATTTCTACTAAGGATAGCTATTTCTTTATGGGAATTTTATCAGTGTACTTCAAATTCGCACATTTTAAAATGGGGGTTTTAATTGGTAAGCCCTGTTTCCATAAATATTGGAATATTATAGTTAATTTCTACCCAGTTTTATCAAGTAATTAAAAAACCTAAGAAAAAAGGTTTTGCCATAATATGTACATGATATTAAACTACTAAAAATCTATGGATGCACATCTGGCCTATATAACAGGGTTCAATTGCATGAGTTGACTTAATGGAGTCAGCTAGCCTATATACATATTTTTTACATTATTTTATACACTTTTCTTGCCTAAAAGAGAAAATTTACTGCTTATGAGTGCCCTAACTTTGTGACACAGTCAAATATAATGCATTCTGTGAGTGAGTTTTAAATTAGAAACATAATTTGTGTTGTCGCAGATGTCATTAAGAGCAAAGATAATATTAGCCTTTTAAGGGGCAATTTAAATGAATGGAATTTGTTATTAGATTAAAGAAATACATTTGTTCTACTAAACAGGACAAACAGTATCTTACATCTTTAGAAATTGTTTCTCAATTATTATATCCAGCAGTTATAAACATGCATACAACTGCCAGACTCTGTTGCACAACTCCCAGTTTCTTCGATCCTCATTCCTGTGTTGCCCAGGAGGGTGGACTCTAGGCCTTGGATTCCTACCATTTGGTTCCACCGGTGGAGCCCAGTCTACACGAAGTTCTGTGGAGCTGATCTTTTGCACCCTAGGTGGGCCCAGCCTTCGGGGTGGTGCCTGGGCTGTGGTCACTGTTATGGGCGAGCTGTGTAAACAGCCCCCATGAGTACACGCCTGCACGGAAAAACGGTACTTGCTGAACGGGACCAGGTGCTGGATGGTCACTGAGGTTTCACGACCTTCGTGGAAAACACACGGCTGAATGTCATCTACAGGGACACAGGACAAAATGTATTTCTCTACTGGCCCCGAACAATTTGAGGGTGCTGCCCAGGTAAGGGTCACGGAGTCGGAGCCAACAGGAGTGACGTGACTCAAGTTCAAGCTTCCCCCCGGGACCCCTGGTGCTGTCCTGTAGGTCACTGCTGTGCTCCCTGTGGAGCCGTGTGCATTGGTGGTCTTGATGGAATAGGAATACGAGGTATATGGTGACAGGCCAGTGTCTGAGAAGTGCTGGGTACCTGAAATTAAAAGAAAAAAAATAAGAAAATAGTTACAATTCCGCAACCTGGTAAGAAGTCACGTCTACTTGTTTTCCCATGATACAACTCAACTAGATGAACTACAGCAATCTCCTCTTTATGAATACCCAGCATGTTTAAGTGCTCGCAGAAGAAGGGTTAGGCATCAGAGCCTGGTTTTAACCCACAGGGTTTCTAGGCTTCCTAAATGGCGAGGATGCTGTGTTAGGAGCCGATGGGCCTACTATGGGACCTTCCTTGGCTGGATCAAGATTACCCTTCAGCTTTGGAGGGCCCAAAGGCTGGGTGAAGGACGCGGAAAACAAATCTCAGAGAGTCCCTGGGAACACAAAGAGCCCAGGGGAGGCCGAGATAGTGCAGATTTCCCAAGGACCTAACCAAGCCGAAAATGCACGTCTTCACCAGCTTCATGGAACCAAGGTTGGCGTCATCAGCATGTCGATGGTGGAGATCGGCCAGCCCCCCCACCCCACCATGGGCCAGCACCCTCTGAAGGGCGTACAGAAGCAAGGGCCAGAGGGAAACTGCCTTCCTGAAGCACCACCATGGCAGCTGGGAGAAGGGAATAATTGAAGGCTAAACACAGGAGTGCATGCCATCGGTGAAGTGTTTATGTCTTCCCCACATTCACGTGCTAGACACTTAATGACCAAGGTGATAGTGTTAAGAGATGGGGACTTTAGGAGTGATTAGGTTAAGACGGTGAGCCCATAAGTGAGATCACTGCCCTCATAAAAAAGGGCCCACAAAGGTCTTTCCTACCTTCTACCATATGAGGACACAGGTAGCCTGCAACCCAGAAAAGGGTCTTCACTACGCCCTGACTGCGCTGGTACCCTGACTGTGGATTTCTAGCCACCAGAGCTTAAATTTCTGTAGTAAATTTCCATTGTTTATAAGCCCCTCAGGCTATGTTTTTTCTTTTTTTTTTTTAATAGTGGCCTGAATGGACTAAGACAGTGAACATCTGAGTGAAGGGTAATTTTTCCATTCTTTATATATGTCTTTGCGAATTCTGCATGAAAATATGCTGAGTATTGCACTAGATTCCAATTAGGATGCAGAAGCCACAGAGTAATTTTGGTTTCCTTACTCTGCCCTCTCAATAATGAGAACTGTCCTTTCATCTTTGTATTTCTAGTGGCTCATATACTTCCTGGTCTGGCGTAAGCATTGAATAAAAGTGCACTGAATGAACAGATGAACAAATGAATGATTTTCCACACATACTCAATTTATTTTTCTAGGCAATAATATTAACAGCCTTATAAAACAATTGTTTCTTTTTCTGCTCTCTTGTTTCCTTTCTTATCCTCTCCCTGTATTTCCTACTTGTCCTTCTTAGCAGAACCATCTTGTCACTTGTTGCATCAATCCTTCGACGTGGTGTGGGATAATAAATTACAACGATATTAAAGGTAGAAATGAAGACCTCGATTTTACTGAAGTATATCATTGTCTGAAACTCTAAACCTACACTATGTTATTGTCAAAGTGACTATCTAGTTTCCCAGTGGGAACATTTCCCTGGAGTTACCCTCAAGGTCTATCTCCCTACTCACGATATTCCAAACAAGACATGGCTTAACTGACCATGAATTTGGGGGGCAAAGGCAAAGTATGTGCGGATCAGTCCACTGATTCTTTTCTTGTCTTCCTTCAGTAGAGAAGGCATATTCTCCAATCTGGCTGTTATTGTAATAAAGGTTATTTTTTATTTTAAATTTCCATCTCCCTGATTCTCATGCCTAGCTGTCCTTCAGTTTCAAACTCAAGTAAGTAAAAATAACGTGATGCACCGGCCACCCCAAAAATGTCAATACTATTAAAAGAGCGCAGCATCCTACACCACAGCAGTTCTTGTCACACTTATGACACAGAAAATACCTACGCGCACCCCAGACTGGGGCTGCACAGGGCATAGTATCAAGTGCCAGGTATGTACAATTCCCAACGTACTAACTTGACTTCTACACCTTTCTTTCCTACTTATGAAAGCTTATGAGTATGCATACGAGAGGAATTTTATTTTGGGAAACCATGGACTATACCTTATTTTATTAAACTTTAATTCAGAAACTTTAGAATTAGTCCACCATTATTAGCACGCTATTAATAATAACCAATAATCTGTAAGGTCTAAAAATGATGATATACCAGTTGTCGTGACCTTAGGTTGGCAACTGCTGACCTGCAGAATCCCACAGTGCTTTAGGCTGGCCAGGAACAGTTTTTATTCTAACAAGGAACTCTGTAATAGCCTCAAGCCTATGATCAAACTTGCCTGGACGCCAACACTATGAATTTTCTTTGAAAAGTTCAATGACTCCCCGCCTACAATTCCAAATGCCTTTATTTAACCCAAAGATTTGTGTTCATCTGACTGAATACAAGCACTGTTTCCTTTTATATCACACATGCAATCCACACACTGGAAAGAGAATAATAAACATAAGGGTATTACTGGAATGATGGGAAGTTCTGACAGTGTCAGCCGATTGTTCTTACTGTTCAAATGCCATCATGCAGATAATTTTCACATCATTAATTACAGCAACTGTCGAGAAATGCCAGAAGTGGTATTTTTTAATGAAAAATAAGGTTTTAGGAAATAATACCTTGTATAATAGGATTATGTAAATGCCTGATTAGTGAATGAGCGTACCCATATTATGTAAGAAACTGTTGTTTGGAGTCTGTATTAGTGCAATAATGAAAAACAGCCAGATTGCTGTACTCACATGTACTGTTCTATGAAACAGATCCCAATATGCTACTATGGAAAATACGCCCCTGGGCAGAAGCGTGTAAGTGAAGGTTAGCTTTACTGTTGAATTCAGCTGGGCAGAAAACAGGGTGAGTCTAATTCGCCACTTCAGACACAGTTCAAGCAGTGGCACTGTCATCGTCAAAATCACTTCAATATTTTTCTAACTTTCTCTTCCCCTATCACAAAAATTTAAGTTTCAGGACACCTGGATCATGCTGATATTTGGAAGAAAATAAACACTCTGGTGGCAGGTTTTTAGGATGCTTTGCCAACGTGGCAGATGTAGGCAGATGTTCATTTCCCTCTGCAATCTGCATCGTGAAGTTCAGGGTTTCCATTAACTTCCAAGAAGACTTGGAGTACTGAAGAGACATTTAGAGTTAGCAGAAAGCGCTGGACACTATAATGAAGGTGCAAGTCACTCATACTTAGGTGTAAAATGTGACCTGTGATAATGTATATAAAACAAAACCACAGGCTGTGCAGAAGTTTTAAAGCCAATCAATATGCCAAAAAAAAAAAAAAAAAAGGGCATCCTTCTAAGATCTTGAGAAAGATTATGGGACTTTAGTATTTCTTCACAGCTTTGTATACTTTTGTAATGAATTAAACCTGTTAAACTAGAATTTGGAAAATTGGGCATGAAACAAAGAAAACAACATGGAACTAGGTATTGGCATCACCTTTCCTGTGTTTCTTAGTTTCTTAAACGATCTTGTAGCCAAATATGGTAACAACCGAATAGCAGAAAAGACAGAGCTAGAGGAAAGGAAAATTTCCTGTTTTTTCATTGTATCTTTGGGGAAACTCAATATACAACACGAGTAAATATTTTTTTAACAATGTGTCTCAGCAGCCTGAATTCTGTAAGCCCCTGTCAAGTCTCCAGAAACACGACAGACGTGAAGAGGTGTCCGTGTTTCCTCACACGCCTCCTCTTTCAATTGAAGGCCGTGCTGCATCTCGTCTTTTTTTAACCTGAGAATTTTAAAAGGTGAATTCACGTAATAGAAATATTTGGTGAATTTTCTGCAATCCTTACACCAGAGAAAACCACAAATGAGTAAGTCTTGCAGTAATTTCATATATTTTTCAATTAAAATATAATTCATAGATTATTTTAATGCCCCTTAGTTACCTTCAACCATTACCTCATAAACATTTTCTGGTCATTAATATAAACTGAGCTATAAAGAAATCATATCCTACAATTTACTTCATAATGTATCAGGATTTTATCTCTCCAGTTACCATAATTTACTGAAAAGTTTTTGAATGTCTGAATTTTCCCAACATTTTGTTATTACACACAGTGTAGGTCTGAACGTATTTTGTGTCCTGTGATGAGTATTCATGTAAGATATTTCCAGAACTACATTTGCTGAATCAAATGGTATGCAAAAGGGGAAGTTTTTTCACATGTTTTAACAATTTATCCTGCAGGAGTTGTGCCACTGAACCCACAGAGATATGCCAGCAGCCTAGGTCAATGCCAGCTCCTTCACAACCTCATCGGCGCTGGCGGGTCTGTTTTTCTGTGCATCTTTGAGAATCTGATAAGCAAGAAGGGCTTATCAAATCAGAAGCATCTCATTTATTGCATTTCTGTGACTACTAGTGAGATTTATAATGCATGATTCTGAGTCAGGAGGAAAACGCTGCCAATAATGGGGACAATTGACAAAAATTTAATATGAATTATACATTAGATAATAGTATCATATCAATGTTAAGTTTCCTGAATTTGACAACTATCCTGTGATTATATGAGAGAATTTCCTTGTTCTTACGAAAGTCAGGCTAAAATATTTTGGGGTTAAGTGTCATAGTGTCTTTAATTAACTCTCAAATGGCTCAGGAAAGATAATCACAACAGCAGAAGCAATAAAGTGTGTGATCTAGGTAAAGGGTACTTGATAGTTTTTACAGCTCTTCTGTGGGTTTGAATTATTGTAAAAAAATACAAATAAGTAAAAAAACATAAAATATATCACTTCACATTTTATAAACGAGAGACATGTGATTCTCTCTCTGCTTGAAATGCTCTGTGCCAGACAGAGGAAACTGCAACAACATTTATCCTCGATGTCAAAGAACTTAACCAATGTAGCAACTCCCAGAATGTTCCATCTTCCCATCCCAAATCTTTAAACTCACTGTATGGGTATTGATCCTCAGTTGTGTAGATATCAAAGCCATCCCTGAATAAGCTGTAAGCAAGCCAGTGGGCATTGGGGGAACCAGGTGGGCTCCAGGAGAGATGGATGGCAGAAGAACTTTGAACTTGTCCTCTGGGTGGGGGTTGCTGGGACGGAGCTAAATGACAACAGAGAGAGCATTTATTAGCAAAGCAATCAATAAGCGCACAAGTAAAGTGAAGTAAGATATCTAGCAAAGAGGCCTTTCTGATTCAGGATTACTTTATCAAAAAGACATGTGGTTGACCAAGACATTAATAAACAAAGGGTATATATCATGAATTACTGAAACAAAGCTTTTTATCAGTAAGCATGTAACAAATTCATAGGTCAATGTAGCCGATATAAATATAATTGGGGGAAAACCCACGAAGTTTACATTAAGCACTGCTTTGTCTTTTTTTTTTTTTTTTGAGAACTATCCAAGGAAACATAACACTTATTTTCTATATAATTAATTTAAAATTTGACATAAATAAGATCCACTGACACTTGAAATTTAAGTAGCATGATTTTGGGGTTTCTGAAAGGGAGTTTTCCATTGCATTAAGCACAATGCCTCCTCTTGCTTCACAGAGCACAGTGTAAAAAGGGATAATAGTCAGTCATACTAATAGCTATGGATGTTATGAATTCTAAATAGTCCAAATATTAGCAAAAAACAATCTGAATGTGCTATGTGAATCCAGCAGCGCCTGTTAGAGGTGTCATGATGGTTACAGAAAATATGATTGCTTCTTTCAGATGCATAAAAGCATCTATTTCACTATTTTAGGAATACTTTGTATAATATAAACATATCCCATGAAAACATTGTCTCTTATAACATATTTTCCTTAGTTTCCCTATTTTTGAGAGGGAGATTGCAGGGGTTTTTTTGTTGTTGTTGTTGTTTTTTGCTATAGATATGAAGTAGAAAAACAGTATCTATTTTTTAAGGACACTCCACCACGTTCATTCACTCTCCTTTGGTTTAACACGATGCATAATGGAGAACCACAACCTAATCACGCTTTCTCATGAAATAAGATGTTGAAGATGCAGGTTGCTGTGTTATCTTATTTCTTAAAATCATTTATCTTTTCAAGGAAAATTTAAAAGCCACATATCAAAACAAACCAATCAAATAATTATCAATATTTTTACATGAACTATCTGCAATCACTAGGTGACAGTCGGGAGAAATGCAAGAGCACATCTCAAGTAAGTAATTTAATCAAGAACTGAATAAAGACACTTTTCAAAAGAGTGGGAAGAGTGTAAGGAAATGAAAGCTGGGGAGCAGCATCTCAGGGTGTGGCAACAACCGAGGTCTTTTATACGTATGCCCAGGGTCCTCGAGGCCACCTCCAGGGAGCTGGCCTCACAGAACTGACTCACCATATAGTCCCACTCATGGCTAATCTTTATTCCAGAAAAAGGAGACAGAATACAGTCAACAAAGGCAAAGGTCACACGGGCGAGTTCCAGGAAAGCCAGTCACCTCCAGTCGGACAGAACCTGCTTGACTCCCCCTACAACGTGTTGTACAAACTCCTGCCCCATGTTCCCAGCCGGGGAGCTCATTAGAGACCCAGGGCCCAGGGTACGCATGGGGGGCTGTTCCTACAGACAGGTGCCCAGGGGATAGCGCGTGTTAAACATAAGCCTTCTGGCTGGACAAAATCTAAGGGACCGTGGGAGCCTTCATGAAACCCAAGTCCCCAGAGGCCAGCCACAGGCCCGCTTTGCAAGCAGGCCTTTCTAAAGACCAGCAGGCAGGCCGGCTGTGTTAACTTCTCCCTACACACTGTCTCTGGCTCTGCGGGGCCCAGCACTCCCGGGCACGCGCAAAGAGCACTGGGCAGCGGCTGGGGCCGCTCAGACTGACACCCAGCCAGTTCACGGCCGCCCCTCTGCTGAGGCAAGGAGCTTGGTGTCCAGTCCCCCACTGCCCTTTCCAACGGCCCTCCAGGTGACAGGCAGGCTCCTGCTGGCAGACAGAGCAGGCGGGGGAAGTGCAACGTGGTCAGACGGAGCGATCCTGGACACCAGCAAAGGCTTTCACCTCTGAGCTACTATGGATTCGTCAGCATTCATGAGCACTCCGCTCCACTGTCAAGACGTGATATAATCTAACAGTAACATTTCATGAAAGCATTTCAAGAGCAATGACTGGAAATACATAAAATTCCATATTTTACGCATAAGCATCCTAAAAAGTGTCCCTAATCGTGTGGTGGATAATATTGATGTCAGAGTTTTAAAGAAAAATATTCAAACTAGATACACTCTCACTTGTCCCCTTTAAATCTTTTCTTCTCCTTTGGAATTTGCATTGTTGTATTGAAATTCTAACTCTCCACATGCCTATTTAGATAGCAGGCACATGTAGGAACAATCTCAAAATGACATATGAAAAGAGAATTATTTCCAAACACCTTATCTATTCGAATTTATGGATTTGCCATAATTGATGTGGTCATTTTGGCTGAATGCTGACAGGACATTTGATCTTGCAGAGAATTTTAATTTAGGGCTTTACATCCTGTTGTTCTTGGTGGAACCACAAAAATCATGTCCCATTTATAGCACAGGGAGCCTTGCAATCCATGGCAACTTGGTATTTTTTTAGTGATTATGGGTGACTACCTCTAAAGCTCCGCATGTTATCAGGGATTCGACAGATGTCAGGGTCAAAGCAATCACAGCTGACCTTCAGACTAGTTTTGAAGACGCTGAAGTGACTTTAGGATGACTGAGAGGGAGGGACTTTTCAGTTCCATGCCAAAGGGTATTGAAAATGATTCGCATTTCATGAAAATTTCCTTGGCAACAAACACACGCACCAACACCCACACACGGGCTCCGTGAAACCTTCAAAGGCGATGACTTGCTGGGCTGGCCTCGCCACCGTGCCCCGATCTACAGTGTAAATGAACACTGCCTGCTTGACACTTGCACGAGCGTTTTTGTAGACCTGAAGGGTTAGCTGGTCTAATACCACTCTAACAATAAATATGAAATCCTGAGACAGCTTGAGCTCCTCCTTTATGGGCTAAAAGTAGACTTCTGAGAAAATGATCACATCTTCATTCATCAAAATTGCCAGGAATGGTCCTGCGTACGCCCCACTCTCATTGAAGGGAGGAAAGTACGTATTGTACTGTGACCACATGCACCTGCCTAGGAGCCGTGGGCTTTCGTCCTGGCTTGGGCTCGTTGGTAGTTGCACGCCTGTAGTCAAATTCTGACTGGACTCCCTGAGCTTCTCCCCATTTATAGGAGGGGGCAATAACGTCTACCTCTCAGGGTGATCACGAGTATAAAATGAGAGTGTATGTGTGTGTATGTGTGTGAGAATGTGCGTCCCTCTGCTTCACAAAAGGCTGCGAGTACTGTGCCTGTGAACACAGGCGTCCAGAGTCCCGCTGTCTTTTTGCTTTGTCATCCCTAGGAGGTTATCTTTGTCCACCCAGTCCCACGTGGATGACCACTCGGTCCACATCCAGGTCAGCAGGAAAGTGAACGGGAGGGACGGAGGGTGCGCTCTGCCCAGGAACCCCAGACCCAGCATCGCCCTCACCATCTCGGCCGGGAGACCGGGGGCCTTGGCCAACTACCGGAGGCGGCAAGGCCGCGGGCCCTGCGCCAAGCCCTGCTGGCATAAAACACCGGACGGCGGCTGCTGAGAAGAACCCAACAGTGGCTGCCAGAGATGAGATGGAAAAAACTGAAGAACAGCTAGGGAATTATGAGATATTTAAAAAGAAAAAAGAGAATGGGATAAGGTGCCTCTAGTTAAACCAGCATGAAGGATGTAGTGATAAAAAATTGGACAAATCCTCAAAATAACTCTTTCTGGGAGCTCTAACTCAATCACAGGCAGACAATAAATGGAGAATATTGATTCTTAACAAACTGGTAGAGCTTTCAGGAGAAACCACAAGCATCTGTGGCCTTTTTGCTCCTTAGTCAAGTATGTTCATTTCAGCAGAGCAGGGCCAGCAACAAACACCAGCACCTTTGGTGACTTTATTTGGGGTTGCCGATGGCAATCCATATAGCTTTGCCATCTGGAAAGGGCAGACTCATTTAGGAACAATGAGGAAAACCCACAGATCTGCCACCTTGAGGATGTGCTCCCCACTGAGTTAAGTAGAGAACTAACCAGAACATAAGCCAGGAGATTCTGGGCAAGGGAAAGCCACCGAGGCCTGAGATCAGCTGTCCATGGCTCCTGGCCAGTGGGGGAGGAGTGGGTGTATGAGGAAGACCCAAGAAAGTCCAATGAGAGGCGAAGGCCCAGCTATACCCAGCTATAACTCTGAGAACCAGCTATAACCCTGAATGCATACCCAACTCATGCATGTTGAGTGACAGAAGCTGTATGGTCTGAAAGTACTTGAGAATAAACATTGCCCATATCATTAGCTGACTCAGACACAGAATGACCCCCCAGGAAGCCAGGCTATAAGTAAAAATTAAAAAAAAAAAAAAGAAGAAGAAGCTGATTACAGACATCAGCAGCTGTACGCTGCAGTGGAGAAAGTTTTCCACCATTTAAGTCTATGCAAATTGTTAAAAAAAAAAATCGAACTTAAGTGTTTTCAACGTAAAATTGCAACTCAAAGAAACTGTGAACCGCACTCATAAAAAAAGGCAATCAATAGAAACAGACTCTTGAGTGCAGCAAACAGTAAACTTGAAGATAAAGCGAGAGATAGAACTTAAAGATACAGCAATCTGATTTATTCAATTCAAAGGAAAGAGGGAGAAAAAGCACTGAACAGAAAGGAGCCCAGCCTGGGGACCTGTGAGACAATGTCAGGGGCACCGTGCACCACCAGCATGTGCAAAGGGTCCCCAGCAGGAAACGGGGAGACAGGGAAAGGGGCAGAGGGCCAGGCTGTGGCTGCCAGGCACTGGGAGGGATGGGGAGATGGGCGTTCCAGGGGCACAGGGTTTCAGTTTCCCAAGAATAAAAGCGTTACTGAGAAGGACGACAGCGATGGCTGTGCAGCATTATGGGTGGGTTTAACATCGCTGAGCTGTGCATGTAACAATGGTTAATATGGTACATTTTGTTACGTATATATTACCATAATATAAATTTTTTTTAAAAGGAGAGCTGTAAGAGCCTCTTTTGATAAATAGGGATAAAGTAAAAAAATGATAAAAATATGGATTGCTAAGCAAGGATAAACATAAAAGTGAGTTGAGACTAGAGTATAACTTAACTCAAATGACCCATAATGATTCATTTGAGACTGAAACACAAATGATTCATAAATAGTTAAAACATATATGTAATGCATAATTAAGTATAAGTATATATAATAAACGATAAATAGATACATATATGTATAATAAATATATATAAGTACATATATATGTTAAGTTTATAGCCAGAAGTTTAAGGCAAGCTGGAATTTATCTAGGAAAGAATACAGAAAGCAGAGCTATTAAATACCTGTTTTCCTTCTGTCCCTCCTATCAAGGAGAATGACTATCATTTTGAAAGCATGAAACAAATATTCATGGGAAAGAAGTAAATCACACAACAAGAAAGCATGTTATCAGAGAGGCCCTAACTACTTTCTGTGAAATCAAATCAATTCTCTTACACTCTGAAAATTATATCTTAGGATTCTTATCCCAAATCCCCATCATAAAAAAAAAAGAAAGAAAGAAAAAAATCACAGATGCTATTGCTAAACTATTGTCAGTGGCCTCTAAGGAAATGGAAAAGATAATAGTTATAATCCCACGGTATCCAGACTGTGCAGAAAAACACCCTGAAACATTCTCATTCTCCAGGAAAGCACATTCTTGACATCGTTGGATGGAGAGAAAGCACAAGCCAGAGGTAGTTCACAGTTTCAACAATAGATAGCACTACGTTCCTTTCAATAGCGTCGCATCTTCGTGAGGCTGGTTGCTCCGGTGGTTGCTAGGATAAAAAGCCAGGATCACGGGAAAATCAAGGAGGAACAGGAAAGAAAGCAGGTTCCCTTCAGACGAGTCCCACAGTGAGTGCTTTCCTGAGCCCCACTCTCAATGTTTCACGCTCCTTTGAAGGCGGGAATCCTATCGGATTTTTAAAAAATGAATTACCTCTGCTGATCCTGAGCTTCTAACTTTGCGCAGCGTTTTGTAAGTTTTCTTAAACAAAAACTAAAATAGCAGCCCCAACAACCACAGAGAGGTGAAGGAAGGTATTCAATACTAAAGATCTCAATGTTAAAGAGAGAAATCAAAATGAGTATGTCCAGAAAAGAATAACTAGAAAGGTGAAAGGTTTTAAAATTATTGACAATTGGGAGCCTTTGAAGAGATCGAGACTGTTTAGCCCAGAGGAGAAAGGCTTTCCATCACATGTCTGCCACCACAAAGGAAAGCCAGCCAGGCACCCAGTGGCCAGGTGACCAGGTTCGCCTGAGGTGTAACTTCTCGACCGTGTCTCAGAAACGAGAATAAGGAGCGAAACGCAGAGCTGAGGCCAATATGTTCACGCAAAATCCATGCAGAACCGATCAAAAATCGCTGAGATTGGGTATGTTGTATGTAAGACTGCCGCAATTCTATTTAAATGATGATACACAACTGACATCCAAAGCAATTTCCGTTGCACAAAAATCAATGAACTCTAGAGCTAAGCATGGTAACAAATATTATTTAAATGCTCAGTGAAAGCCAGAGTTGTGTTTAGACTGTATTTATAAATAGACAATGATAGTCCTCTCTTGAAACTGCATAAACCTCTACAGTTTTCCTTGGACTAAAATCTAGAAGATCCCATGAAACACAGGATAGTGAAGATAAATTACACAGGTACAAAATTTAAGGGTGTCTTCATCATTAGCTACACCCCACCTTCGCCCCCTCAAAATCCAGTGTGGTTGCCAGGAAGCCCAGCATCTACGACGCGTGGCTCCCTCCCTCAAACACAGAGAGCACCGCCCCCGCCTGCTCGTTCAGGACAACCTGTCCTGCCTGGTGGCATTTCCTAGCACTGGGACGCCCGATGGGCTCAGGACACCCCGAGGAGAAGGCGCGTTGTACAGAGGGCTCCTTACCATGTGTTTCCAGCGGGCATTTCTTAGGAATTTGGAAGGAGGTAAGAACATATGATCTTGAAGTAAATACTTAAAAAACCATCAATGTGTTTTAAATGGCAGGATTGCAGGTGACCTTGTAGAGTCAATTCAAGGAAGTGGAAAATGGTGCTGAGAAGTTAAAAGATACTAAGATACAATTGATGGCTTTCAACAGATAAATCAAGACACATGCAAGATGTTTAAACAGCCAATGCTAGTAAAAGTAGAAAGAAAAGAATATCCAAATACAGGAGCTCGAAATACGCTATGATAAACAGTGATAACAACTGCTACAATATCAACAAACAACTAACAGTAGCATCATGTCCATAAAATTTGTGGGCTGGAAGGACATACCACTCCTAATAAAATATAAATCTTCATTTGTTAGAGAAAACTGTCTGGAAACGTCATCATGTGCTGGCGTGACCAATCACTTGGCTTAACCAGTAATGTCCTGGTTTTTACACTGAAAGTCTCTCGGTTTGGGGAAAATCCGGACTTTGGTCACCTTCTTAGTGATACCACAAACCACTGCACATCCCCCATTACTAATATAAGCGTATCCCCATTTTCCATGACTTAATCAAGGGAAAAGAACACTAGCATCATTTGGGGTGATTTTTTTTTTTTTCGTTTCTCCCCTGACGTGTCCGCACTGTAGCAAAGCCTTTCCGCTGGGTCCTCCACAGGGAGGAAAAGGGCCCCGCTCGGCCCCGCGGGGCATTCTGGCAGACACCCGCGTGGGCCCAGGTGCACTTACATTTGCTGCAGCCCCACGGGTTGTTGGCATCCAAGTGGCTGGCACCGGGGACACAGGCATCGCACTTTGAGCCGGTGACAAATCGTTTACAGAAACACTGGCCCGTGACCAAGTGACAGGTCTCATTCAAGGCTCCTGAGAGATGACAATTGCAAGGCTGACATCTGAAAACAAGAGAAATAAACCATCCAAGAGAATCACATTTTGATTAATAATTCATACTGTAAGTCACATGCATCTATTGATAATGCTGTGGAATGAGATGTTTTAGCCAATGGGCTGAAAATGATTCTTGAGTTAAACAAACATGAAATAAAACAAAACAGGAAAAAAATACTTATCAAAATGCTGCTTATGATAAATGCTCTATGAAGCCTTTTCTTTGTAAACTAATTGATAGTCAAAAAAAGTGTTCCTTTGCTTCTTTACATGCCACAATACACTTCATGGATTATTTTGAATCATACTGTTCAAAAAAGAATACTGTAAATTTTTCTTTCCCACAAAAAACAGTTTCCATGACAGCTAAAATTTAAGATTACGTACCTCCAAAATTATCTTTTCAAGTATCTATCAAGTGGTGAGAGAGGAACTGGATGTGATAATCATTGTTTTCCCTAAAAATCTTGAAATTCTATATTTAGTTTTATAAAGACTAAATTTCACTGAGAAAACAGTTTGGGGAAGACACGCTTCATTGCCAAAAATGCGTAATAAATGTTACATTTCCTTTTTTTATTTTATGCACTAAACTCACTTTTCCAGAATGGTTGGAGAGCTAAGAATCATGGTGATCTACGAAAAGCAGCTAATGATATAAATACAATGGGAGAACTGCACTTCAACTCACATTTCTTGGACCCAAAGTTGCTACTAAAAAATTAGTTTTGGCATTTTGCTGCTAGAAACTAAAACCTTCCAACTCTTAACCTGTGATAATTCCACTGATTAGCAGGAGCAACGTTGGGGCCACAAAGCATTACAGAAGTCAAACAGTACTTGCCTGGAGATCACTCATACTTAACAAGGACTTTCCACACAACACATTCAGTAACAGCCTTGAGGAGTCACCTACGTTTTCTAATGAAGATGCTGCATGGATAGAGTAGCTTTACCCTCAGCAATTTCTATGGTGTGGTCTCCTGGGTAATCATTCCACACCCTTAAAAAGGCTGATAAAAGCGAAGGCTGCTAAATAAGCTGCAAATTTGTTTTATGGACTAATATCACCTAGGGAATAAATAAAGCACACTTTATCTTGAAAACCACTATACTGTAGTATGCCCTTTTTATGTCATGATAAAAGGACATTTTTCTCCTATAAACAACTATATGAAGTTCTTTATGTATAGGCATTGCATCAGAACTACATTTCAAATTGATGTTTTGTTTAGGTTACTTAAGCATGAGAGCTGAAGAAAATGATGCATTGAAATTAAAATGGAATTACAAAAGCAGCAAAATATTTAATTTGCTCTTAAGTTCATTATATGCTATTACTTAGAGTATGTTGTTTGTAGGTTTTTTTAATGTCATATTGGTTAAGAATACGCAGCTTCTCCCGTACATAATTTATCGCCACGCCACTCACGAGTAAGTGTCTCTTGAGCATTTCAGTTTTTATTACCATTCACTCATGAGACAATCACACTCATTTTATATACAGTACATTTAGAGGAACAGTTTCCAGTGTATAACATAATTCCTTTTCTTGATGCTGTTCTATTTTCTTCCAGCTACACGCTTAACTCTAAGTCAGCTCTAAGTCAATATCCATGGGGTATTACGTTCTGAATCTAAATGGAATAAATAAATCGCTTCTTAGGAAAGCACGCAGCGTTTTGAGTAATTAAATGTGACTATTCCTGATTTTATAGTCTCTTAGCCAAGCCACGGTTATATCTAACTTATCTGACTTGTTATAATTGCTTGACTTCAGTACGCGGGAATTTTATCTGAGTGACGTTCACAGGAGACTTTCCTGAATATTATAGCTTGTTTCTAGCCCAAAGGACACTGGGGATAATTTTGTAATTAAGGCTTAAGTGAAACGATTCCTGTAAATTTCTTGGCCACTCAAATATAATTTTAAACATTTCCAAGACTCTTTAGCAAATAAGCTACAAGTTTGATGTCATTTTCTAAGTTACCACTCCTCAAGAGCACTTTCTAAATGAGATATAGTTCACGTTTATTAAAACAGAATTATACATAATAAAGGAAAAGACATTTTAAGCTTTGAGAGAGAAACAGCAAACTAAGATGAATTGCGATATTGATTTTGTCAGGATAAATGGTTTCTGTAATATTAATATAAAGAAACCTTTATTATACTGACTCTCCTGGTATAGCCAGAGCTCTCCCGCAATCTGTTTAAAATCTTCATTTTTCATCCTTATGGGAAAACCTCACTTGCTAAATGGATTTCATAAAGAGTAATCTGTCAAGATTTATATAGATAAACAATTTGTGATGTTTATTGACCAGTTCATTATGGTAAACAAAATGGGAAGGAAGCCTCGCTAATCTCCGTGCGCACGCAGCTACGGCAGCTCTGCTCGGGCTGGTCTTTACTGGACACAATGGGAGAGAAGTTAATTGGCCTCTGTCTCTTAAGTCACACATCTCATCTATTTTACTTTCCAGGGAGCCTCTTCTCGTTGAACAAACAATAAGAGAGTTATCCTACTTCTTGCTATTGCAGAAACATCACTATTAACGAAGGGAGTGTGTTTCGATAATGCATTTCATTGTCGGGAACTTTGCCGTCGGAAGAAGAGCTGCTTTAGGAGGTCCGGAGGCATGCGCCAGGATGGGGATCACTTTATTGGCATTGCTCTTTGGACGCCTCTCTTCTGTCTGCAGCCTCAACTTAATGGGCACCATCTAATTGACTTAAACGTATTGAATGACAAAAAAAATCATGGACAGTCAATTATATTCCAGGGCTGGATAACACTGGAGATGTAAATATGGGCAAGACACAGAGCTCTCCCTGTCCTCAAGGAGCTCACAGTCTAGTGAGAAACAAATTTAAACGAATAGAAAGAACATTCATAAAGATGTACATAGAGCTAATTGATGGCACAGAAAGGGGCAGATGTCTAGTCTGGGGGCAGGAGAGGGGACAGGGAATGGAGGATGAAGAAGGAATCTTGGAGGTGTTCGCGCTGCTTATTACAATAGGAATAAGCTGGGCAAATGGGCGAGGGAGAAAACAGAAAGGAGACGAAACAAGAGGGTGTCAAGTTAGAAGGCATGCAAGCGTTTTGGATACGGATTCAGAACAGGGAGGAAGCGGCGACAGGTGAAGCTGGAAGGGCGGGGAGAAGGCACTGCCAAAGGAGGGGCTTTCGTGACAGCGGTGAGGGGCCGCGGAGAGGGCGGGGTTAGAGCTCAGAGAGATTTCGTGAGTGAAATCAATGGCATGAGGCAGACACACGAAAAGGAGAAGCAAACAAGGGCCTGGAGTCACTCCAGTTTTCTAATTTGCTGACAGAGGAATGATGCCATTCAACACAACCACCCAAGGAGGAAGAGACCTCAATTACTGAGCGAATTTAGACAGGAATTACTAACGATTATTAATGAATAGAACAGAAAGAGGCTTCAAGGCAAATGGAAGAAATTGGACAAAGGCGTTCCTTCCATCCCTAGCACGAAGACTAGCACACTACAAGGGTTCAGTGAAATTTGTTGAGTAAGTGACAATTTGGCTGGTTTGGGCCCGTTTTGATTGGTATAGCTGCCCCCCCCCCCCCACTAAACTCTTCGCCAAGGAAGGGACCACTGTTCTTCAAGGGCTGTCCCTCCTCTCTAAGGCCACTCTCTCGGGCCAGCGGAGGTCTCAGCTGAGTCCTCCTGTCCGGGTCCCGGGAGTGCGGGTGTGCCCTCGTGGACTTCGGGTTCCCCAGCTAAGATCACAACAGCATTTCGCTTCTGCTTTGGAGGTGCCGTCTGGTCTCACCGAGGTTCTGAGTATCCCTTTTGTCGCAGCCCATGAACAGCCTGGATGCCCTGGGAACTGGAATCAGAATGACAGGGGAGGAATTCGGGGCTTAGAGGGCCTCTTTGTTTAAGCTGGAAGCCACACGCACATGGCCTGGCACTAGCCCTGGCCCACGGCATACGGCAAAGATAACACGGCAGCAGGGCCAGGCAAAGGCCTCGAGTGGCCTTGACTGCTTGTGCTGTCTTTCTGGGGACTCTGCCACCACCCGCCAGGGCGTGCTCACAGGTGGGACCCTCTAGCCGTCACCTAGATAACAGCATGCTGTCCGAAGAGCCACTGGGGAGCACGAGTCTGTGAGGCACACGCCCGAACTCTCTCATGATCACACCGTGAAAGGAGGGCAGTTGACACAAAAGCCACCTGCTTCCATGTCAAGTCGTCAGTCTGGTTCTCAGAGAAGAGGCCAATCGATGCTCATTGGAAACACACATGTGAAAAGATTATAGACCCAATCTATACGCTAGTGTTGAAATGGAGAAATTCTGTAGTAAAACCAAAAATAATCTGGTCACAGAGAAAGTGCAACGTGTGGTATGTTTTAGAAGTCCGAGGCCTTAGATGGCCCAGCCAACCTAGACCCCAATTCCCCGCTCTTTGGGGAAAATGACGACTCAGTGCATGGCAGCTGGCGAGAGACAAGTAGTGATACATCTGGCCCTTTGAGGCTTAAAAAAAGACAAAATACAACTAATTCCTCTACAGAGAAGTCCTTAGGGGGCAACCCCTGGGGGGCTGGGACGTGTGGGAGTCCCAGAGACACCGGTGCAGTCCTAGGGGCGGTGGGGAGGGGATCCCAGCTACAGACCGACTTGAGGACAGAGACCGCGCCTGCACTATCACGTGCGGGCATTACTACCAATGGAGACGGGGGAAGCGTGGCCCACTTTTGTCTCATTGTTTCTGTTGTAGACAAATACAATATACTTTTTTCCTGTTTTATTGATTTTTCAGTGGGCAGACTTTTCTTCTTTTTCTTTTTTCTTTTCTTTTTTTTTTTTTTACTGCATTGTTTTTGATACTGATTAAACATGTTTGCTTTATATGTCAGAGGTAAAGAAGTGATTTTTGCACCTGGACCAGCTTTTTAAAACACATGTCCCCTTTTCTCGCGATAGGTAACTTTTCAAGAATGAGCTGCTTGGATGGAAACAGATGGTGGTCTTCCAGCTTGTTATTGTTGTGTTTGGGGCCTTTTTGTTGTTAGTGCTGTAGTTCAGGGGCAGAGCCTGTTTGAGTTTACTTATTTTGCCCTGGAGAGTATAAAAAAGCTTGAAAAACACAGGAAATGTAGGAGAACATGGAAAAGGGGAAGGGATATGAGTGATCTTCAGGAAGGGCTTCAGAAATAAGACCTCCCTGGAAATATAAATGGAAAAAACATATGAAGAAGTCAATTTATTCTCCAAATCAATGAAGAAACACCATGACACTGGTATCTTCTCTTTGCTTACCAATAAAATACTTATAATCTATTGCAGAAGTTTCGAAACTAATAAAATGACTTTAGACTTGTAAGCACCTACCGTTTAGCCTGATCCAAGGCACATTTACTTGATGTTAGCTCATTTTCTTTCACTTTGAAAAAACTTTAACACCAGGGCATAAATTATTATTTTCCTATGCTGATGCCTGTATACACTTAGACAACAAGCGAATTCTTCTCTTCAGGAAACAAAAATTCCTTACACTAGATGGAATACCATACATTTTAGCCATCTTTGTATACATTTTCAAAATAGTCATTGTTAGTATATATTCACAATTGCAACCAGAAGTCAACAAAGAGACTCCAATATCATTTAGGAAAGGACGGAAAACATAAAAAAAAAAAAAAGAACAAAATCCATTTTTATCTCTTCTCAATGATGAGCAAAAATCTAAACTCAAGCCATTCTCACGGTCACATTTTCCGTGACCTTCTGGGCTGGAGGATTTCTTCTCTGATGATTATCCATGTTTAAGTGGAAGGGGACAGGTAAGCCTGTCAGTGTGGGAAGGGTTCCGTAGGACCGATTTAACAAGGGACAAGTCCTCTTGACTTTGGGGGGCCCCCTGTGGTTGGGGGAGGCTTTATTCTTTCTACTCCTTCCAGAGAAGCTACTTTACACATGGTGGCTCTGTCCAGCGGTGGCCTGTGCTCAGTATCGGAGCCACTCCCGCCCAGTCAGAGAGCATCCTGAGCCCCCTCGCGAGTGGGTGGTGCGGCCTTGAACAGGTATTTTAATGTTTGCATCCCTTTTACCCAGGTCATATCTGCATGAGATGGCAGAAGACTTTTGTTTTTATTTTTGTAGGAGGTGAGAAAAATAACGGAAAAAATTATTTTTGGCTCTATTAACTGAAACCTATATAATTTTATTAACCAATGTCACCCCAATAAATTTTTTAAAATCATTATTAGATAGAATTTGAAAATAAAAAGAAGTAAAAAAGGAAAAAAAGAATGAGAGGCATGGGGACATTTAAATTTAAAACTCAGACAGACAGCTGGTTATAGGCCTAGAGGTCATGGTAGAGACCTGAACAGATAACATATCTGAGGGTCGTTAAAATGTATGTGTTGAATGAAATCATAGACATAGACAGGTACATTGAAGGGGCAGAGGAAAGAGGAGTAATCAGCAAAAGAGATCAAAAAACAAATCACAGGAGTAAGATCTTGGAGGCCATAGGAGAGATAATTTTAAGAAACAGGACAATAAAGCAATTGACACAGTGAAACAAACATGACTCCTAAGAGGCAACCGTAAACTAATTTTACTTTCATCTCTCACTCATCCTTTAACCATATTGCATGAGGCAATGCCCCTCTGTCTGCCACCTGGATATAAAGTGAGTCAGTTACAGGGCTTTTCTGGTCTTTTCTATGGTATAGAAAGTCCTAGAGTTATTTTAAATTGCAAAGCACAGGTTCAACAAAAAGAACAAAACTAGAGACATCACGTTCTTGATTTCAAAATATATTACAAAACTACAGCAATGAAAACAGCAAGGCACAGGACAAGGAGCAATGTGTTTTTCTCATAACCAGATGAGGACCATAAGGAAGAGTGACAGCATGGCACTGTCTCAGTGTCTGTACAAGAGGTGACCCAGAAGTCTAATGGGTCCTGATTAGAGAAAATACTGAGATTCTTATGGGCTTCAAAATTAATGAGCAACCAATTGGCAAAGCGATGCCTCTAACTATCCCAAAACTATAGGTTAGAGACACCGAGGGAGAGAGATCAACGAAGAAATCAGGGAAGCACCAGTGCCAGTGAAAAGCCAGCTTTGAAGACGTGCGAGACCAGAGGCAGCAGCCTGCTTTGGGCTTTGCTAGTCCAGTGAATCCCTACCCTTCCTGCAGCCTGTGCATGAGAGGAAAAGAGCACAGTGATGCTCTCAGACTAACAGAGCCTTATGCCAAAGGTAACAGAAGTGGAGGGGCATGTGTTTAAAAACAGACACGCAGTGAAACAAAAAATTGTTTTACTAGGTATTTCAAATAGCATGGTAAAATTTTCTGATCACATTGACTGTTAGTAGAAAACCAAATAAACTGGTTTGAGTTCTTTTTCAAGAGTTTAACCTGCCACCCTGTCCACACTCTAACCGAGGTGCTCGTGAAGAGTGTAAGGGCCAAAGGCAGGCAGCAGGGGACAGCGTGTTGAAAGAGTCCGATATTCTCAAATCCTTGAATAATGAGCAATTAGTTATAAATGCATACACACATGGAGACGCATACTGAGGAAGAGATTTGTACAGTTTATAAAGAACAAAGTACTACTTGCTTGGAGACAAGAACACCAAAGAATTAATGGATATAGTCCCAACCCTAGACAAACTGATAATCTAACCGGGGGGAAAAAATCATGGAATTGGCTTTCCAGCTCATCTTAAAAAATATAGCAAGAGCCCTGGCTGGTGTGGCTCAGTTGGGTGGGCACTGTCCCGCAAAGCAAAAGGCTGCCGGTTCAACTGCTGTCGGGGCACACGTCTAGGCTGCGGGTTCAGTCCTTGGCCGGGTGTGTACGAGAGGCAACCAACAGGTGTTTCTCTCTGACAGTGATGTTTCTCTCTCTCTCTTTCTCCCTCCCTTCCCCTTACTTAAAAAATAAATAAATACAATCTTTAAAAAGTAGAGCAATGAACACAAACGCATGAAAGTAAATGCCCACAAATACAGAGGAAATGAGGAGTAGAACACTGAAGAATGCAACTTTGAAAAGTGGTTAATTTGAGAATGTACTTTACACACTGGGGGGAAAAATCGTGTCACTGAATACAAAGGTATGTTTCTTATCTGCCAGTCTTTAAACCTAAACTAGAAAGGCAAGGGCAACATAAATAAATGGAATAAATTAACAAATAACTAAGAAAAACAAAATATATATAGACTTTGTTTCTTTGTAAAAACAAGTATTACCTATCCTAGCTCTTATATCGTGTGTGTGCGTATCAAGTTAAATATTCCCAGGCCCTAATATTGGGTTTATCTATCGATGTTTAGCAACCTATACATTGGAACTCAAGGAAATGTTCAAGGATTACCATTATGTTTAATAAAGGCAGACATCAAAGAGTCAAAAATAAACCAACCAACTGAGGAGGACAGGAAATACTGCATTTTACACAAGATGATGCCAAAAAAAGTCACTGTTGGTATAGGGAAAAAAGTGTCACTGCACACAGAATTAAATAAAAATGTTTATTAACTCTAATAAACATTTACCTTCCCGTCCGAGGATCGAATCCGAAGTACAGGCCCTGACAGCGGTCACAGCGGGGCCCCGCGGTGGACGCATCTCGGCAAGCACACTGGCCCGTTCGGCTGTCACAGACGCCATCCACCGCACCAGCCGCGTGGCAGGAACAGGGCAGGCAGCCAGTGGCATTGCCTGGAGAGACATACAAACCTGGAATAAAACGATGAAAAGATTGCATGTGTTCTTCCCATCCAGTCTTGTCTTTAAAAGATAGTCTTTGCATTACATCAAAACACAGAACACTCTACAGGGGCGCTAAACTAATTCCCCAAACAAATGTGCTTATGGCTGTTCTTACCTAGTGTGTCAAATATCACCTTCAAAAGGCTGAGTCAATAATTTGCATTGTGTCTGGTGTCTCCAGGGCACCTGAACTTCAGTGCATTTAAAACCTACTTCGTGACCAGCACACAAAAACTGGTCTTCCTCTGTCTCCATGCTAACATGAGGCGGTGCCATCTCTTCTGATGCCCAACCTAGAACCCAGAACATCTCTGCCAGGGTAGCCAGAGAAAATCCAGGATGTCCAGTTAAATTTGACTTTCTAACTGTGCCCACTCTGATATTTGCTTCTATTAAAAAATAGCTGAAGTTCAAGTTTAAATGAACATCCTGTACTGTCCTCAAACTGCAACCCTTCAGCCCTTCACTTCCCCCCACTCTTCAGAGCTGATCCCCAAGTCACAGGTTCTGTCTTCTAGGAAATTCCGCCAACTTTCCAAGCCGGCTACCACCCCCTCGTTAAAGTCACCGCCGAGTTTTCATACTTAGCGCTGTATGCCAGAGGCTATGGGAAGGGCTTTATATTCATTATCTCACTTAGTTCTACCAGCAGTGCTAACAGTTCAGGTATTATTATGATGTCTGTTATATAAGTCAGAAAACTGGAGGTTAGAAAGGTTAACGAACTTTCGTAAAATGAAAAAGGGAACGAAGAGCAGAACCCCAAGAGCAGAACGAAGAAGAGAACCTCGACGAGAGGCTGTCTCCTGCCACGGGGTCCCTCTTACCCCTCCCAATCTAGTCTTCACAGAGCACCCGCACAATCCTTTCCCGAGTCCAGTCTCAACATCTCATTCCTCCACTTAAAATTATTTGATGACTCCTTATTTCCCTGGGGAGAGACTGGAAGCCCCTCCCACAGCCGTGAATCCTCCATCCAGGTCCCGCCAGCGCTCCAGCCTCAGTCCACTGCTCATTGCCAAGGCTGTCCGCTCCACGTTTCTCTCCCTCCTCGATACCTGAAGGCCTTTTCCAGGTGGTTCTGTCTGCTGAAAGGACCCTGACCTGCCTTTTCCGTGTAGCTCACGCCGACGCAGGCACAACAGGCCCTGTGGCTCCTTGGATAACCTGACCCAGGCCAGTTCAGGTGGGCCCGTTACACTGACACAGCCGCTGTTCATTTCCTTTCAAATCTCATGAACACTGAGACCTCCCGTCCACCAGGCTCTATCTCCCATGAAGGCAGGAACCTCCTCAGATGAAGCGTCACAGTCTCCCCTGGCACCATGCTTGTCACAAAAAATGTACCAAGTTATTAAATAGGCACTGAGTCCCACAAGTACCTTATTTATTAAAACTCACAGAATTTAGGTTAATTATTAACCTGCATTTTATTACAGCAAAAAAAAAAAAGTAAAAATATGATACAAAAATATTTTCAAGTTACTTCCAATTTCTTGGACCTAGAAGGTGGGAGTCACCAGTTATAAAGTTAAAAAGCTTTTGGACATTTGAGTGATAGAGCAAGCAAATGGGAGAGAAACCACTCCCAGTGTTTTGAGGTGTGTTTGTGTGTGTAGATGTGTACACACACATTTACACGCACAAGAGCACATGCATGAGGTTAAGAAATTTTAATGAGAAAATAGGGGGAGGGATTGCAGGAGGATTCTCACGGAAAAGGTTCTGGCAGATGGAAATGAATTGTACAGTCATCATGGTCTTCTATTTAAGGACGTAAGTTATCTCGGTGATGCTGGAGAGAGAGAGAGAGAATGAGCACTCAGTAAATCCGCACTGTGTTGCGCATTCTGTAGGGAGAAGCAGGAGGTCACTGCAACGCTGTGAAACTCACTGGAGGCTTTCATTGAAAACAAGCCAGTTTTTCACAGTCCTGTATGTTCTTCCTTAGAAAGCTTCAGGAAGAGTAAAACAGAAAAGACTGTGTTCAATCAGAATTTTTAAAAAAAAAGCAGCAGCAGCAGCTCAGAATCTGTGCCATTCGGTTGGAAAGAACTAATGCTGTCATTTTTATTACAATTTACAAACTAGATTATGTCCTTTGCTTTTGGGCATCCACTGACAATGATCTGCCTTATAGGTATTTCCAGAAATAGCGCGTGGCCATGCCGATTAATGTATACGCTCACACCTGATTCAGCATGTGATCCAAGTCACCATTTTAGAAGACTTCTATTTTGGATTCAAGATCTCCATAGCTGTGATTCTACGAGTTTTTCTTCTTGTGAAGATACCTAGGCCTTTAAATCCACGATATCATCATGAATGGACTGACAGCTCTCCAATTTAGATAAATTACACATTAGCACAGATACTTAGAAGCAGAATTAATTTAGGCTTATTGCAATAGCTTTGAGCCACAGAGAATTCTAGAACAATTAAGGATGATTTTTACAAGAAATTGATTTATTAGATAAATCTGTTAAGAACAAGAAGGGTACACTTTGGTGCAGAAGACTGGGTTACTCAAGTTTAGGAGAGTAAAGAATGCCACAGAAAAGATACAGAGAGATACAGGCAGAGAAGAATGAAAAAAGTATTAAGACACCTAAGGAGGCTGCAACCTAGAGGTAGAGCTTCAAGGAAAAGATTACACTGGAATCTGTCTGGGGGTTAATTTCCCTCCTCCCCTCAGGAGCACGATAATAAAGGTTAATCCCACCAGTATTTTAGTTGTCCTATTTTTAAACAGTTCTAATTAGGATGACTCAGGTACCTTCCTGTTCAATGATTGCTCCTTGCCTTACCTGAATGTGCCTAATTCTAGACCATTACCTTTCCTTTTATGACTTCCAACTATAGAAAACATCGCCCTTCCCTCCCCCTTAAGTTTCAACTCCTGCGTGCAGCTTGAAGATAACTGACCTTAATGTCTTTTCTTTAATTCAACACATTTCTGATCCCCTTCCACGAGCTCCACGTCATGTTCCATGTCTTGGCATCTGTATCATTCTCAGGGATCTTTTTGAGATTTCTTGCCATGAACGACTCTGCGCTGCATTCTTAAATCAGGCACGGCCATTAGGACAATACCATTACCGTACCTTACGTAGTGTCAAGAGTTCACACGTCTATGGCACAAATCAGCCCACTCAGGTTTATTACTGTCCCCAGTTCTATTTCAGCTAACCCCTGGTCCCGAGCAAGACAAGTCTCATGTGGAAAACAATGGGTTTTGCAGCTAAAGCAAAAAGTCCCCCATATCATAAACCAGCATTGCTTTATTTTGGAGAAGGTTTACAGAATCTTTAGAGTTCAAAGTTATTAGCAAGGCGGTTGGTATTATCTCCTGCAGTGGCTATTTGCACAACAGAGTACCTGTCTTGGGTATAAAGAAGAGCCCATTTCCTAGCAATGTCCCTCCCGAGGACTATGAACAGCTAGGTTTTACCAAGGTCTTGGAATGGGAGAAAGAAAACAAGTTTAACCTCTAGGCCTTATTCAGAAAAGGAGGGCAGAGCTGCGGCTAAGCACTAATTATAAGCCATTTAGAAGAAACGATTCTCAGTGCAAGCCAGAGAATGGACATAGTATTAAGAGTCCAGGGAGGAATCTATGGCTCACCTATACCAGGTAACAAAAGGCTATCTTAGTAATTGTTTTTACAAATCAATATTTTCAGAATAAAGTATAGTAGATGATACTAATCTTCAAATAAAGACAGCAGTCATTTGCCTCCATTTGGCAGTCTTATTTAAAAATAATGTTGAAATTATTATTCAAAGATTTGACCAAACATCAATAAATGCATAAATATAAGTTAATATCATTCACTCCAAGGTATAATTACTCTTATTTAAAAGATTTTTCTAAATTCTTTTTCAATTAGCTTAAATATGCATTTTAAATTTGCTGGTTCGCTTTCTTCTTCCTGGACTGCTAGATTCCCTTATATAATTTACCAACTTCTGTTTAGTTGCAAAACTCAGCCCAAAAATCTCTTTCTCATCCAAGTCCTCCATATCCCCCAATCTTCATTCATTAAACAACCTGTTTCCTCTTCCAGTTCTTTATACTGCGCATTTCTAATATTACCCTTACCACACAGGTATATTTACGTGCAAGTCAGTTTTCCCTACTGAACCATAAACCCTTAATATATGTATGATGGCATATCACATGCCAGCACACTCCCTGGTACAGAGTAATTTATTCAATAGATATTATCAAAAAGTGAATATGTGAATGAAACAGATAGAACACTGAATGGATGCATGCGTAGATGGATGGATGGAAATCTGTCACCCCTTAAAATATGAGATCATCTTTTTAACCTGAAAAGGGAGCCGTAAACATAAATCTGTGAGTTCTGAGAGTGAGGGGTGGCCTGACCCAGAAGGGAGAGCAGATGAATCAGGCCCAATAACTTTAAAATGTAGTCCTTGCGTAGCAACAGACGGAACAGAACTTCAGAAAGAAAATGTCACCCCCAAACTAGGTCTCCTGTTCGTAGAACATAGGATATAATCAGATGCTCATATAAAAGAACGCATTCAAGTGGACTTTTCTGTTTTATTTTAAAAAATTAATTAACTAAAAAAATATGAATTAAAAAAAAAAAAACTAGTTTTCCTACTTAGGTGACTATCCATGAAAGGCCTCCATACATATGTTCTTTTAAGATTCAAATCTAATAACAATTTTAAATAATAACAGATCTGAGCATGATTTGCAGATGAGAGACTGATCTACACTTGGAAAACACAAAAATATACATGTGTTTTCATAACCCACAAAGACACTTTTAAATTCCTTGGCCCCATTTTTTGCAGCGTCGGTCGTCATCAACGGCACGCGCGACAGTCTCGCTCCTGCACCTTCTTAACCACCTCAAGTATTTCTCCAGCTTCGTCCAAGGAGACCATCCTATTTCCAGGCCTCTCAGTTCAGCAATTTAGTATGTGATG